CGCTCGCTGCCGACGACCGGCCGACAGCCATGCAAGTGTCGTTCACTATCAAGACGCAGCTACGCCAGATGAAGTAGCTCGAGACGCGACTTATATAAAATCACGAATGTGCTTGGGCAGAGAAACATGAGGAATCGACTCTCCATGTGCCACGTCGGTTCGGTAGGTCCCAGGTGCAAAGTCGGCTGATGGGCCCCTCCCCCCACCCGGGGGAGGCCAAAAGAGTATAAAAGGCGCGTATTGGTCGTCACCGATTGGTTGGTCCGATCTCTTCCGTCATCAACATCCCGCGTCCGCCATGGTGCAGAGCAGCAGCAGCAAGAAGAAGAAGTCGAGCAAGCCAAAGAGCTCGAAGCGCAAGCCCGTGAACCTCCAGCCGACATACCAGAGTAAGTTTGCTCGCCATGCTGCCGGCTCGGACGATGATCCTGACTCGCCGTCTCCCTCCATGCTCGCCCACGACCTCTTCCCTTCCAACCACGAAGAAATGTCGCTCGGAGATTTTCACCTGCACAGGTACTAGTAGCCCGCATAGGTATATGTACTTGACTCAAGTTGATTCGAATAGCACGTGCAGCGACGGCAAGTTTCGCCCCGCCGAGGTGATTGCCAAGGCCGCGGCCAACGGCGTCCAGTACATGTCCTTGACGGACCACGACACGATGGCCGGCGTCGACGAGGCGTTGGCGACGGCGCGCGACCTCGGCGTCTTCGTGATGCCCGGCGTCGAGATCAGCGCCGAAGAGAAGGGCGCTGAAAACATGCACATCCTCGGGTACTTTTGCCCGGGTACCGAGAGCGCAGAGCTCGAGGCGCAACTCCTCCTGATCCGCCAAGCGCGCCACAAGCGCGGCCAAGAAATGCTCCGCAAACTCGTGCGTAGCACACTCGCCTCACTCGACTAATGCGGCGTGCAGGCGGCGATGGGGATCCACTTGGACTGGAATCGCGTCCTTGAAATTGCAGGCGAGGCCGCGCCGGGCCGCCCTCACGTGGCCGAGGCTCTCGTCGAGGCGGGGCACGTGGCGCACTTCCGCGAAGCCTTTTCGCGCTACCTGGGCAACGACGGGCCCGCGTACGCCGAGGTAAACACCAAGCAATACGTGCGGCTCTGTCGCCTGATGCGCTATTGTAGGGCGAGCATTTCCCGCCCGAAGGTGAGTCTTCATGGCATATGCACTGGGTGCATGGTGAAATTATTGTGCCGAGTAGCTGCGATCAAGATGATTGCCGAAGCCGGTGGCATCTCCGGTGCGATGCAACTTGGTGCCGTGCCTCTGACAGCGACCTTTCGTAGTGCTGGCCCACCCGTGGTGCTGCAAAAACCCGCTGCTCGTCGTGCCCAAGCTGGCCGCGGCAGGCATCAACGTAGATGCTTAAGACAGATGCTGTTGCGAAACGCTGTGTTGTGTAGGGCGTCGAGGTGTACCACGACGTGACCAAGATTGACCTCTACGGCTCGCTCGCCACCGAGTCCAAGCTGCTCAAGGTGGACCTCGATCATCTCTCTTGCATATCTCACACTGTTGTGTAGCTTGGCGGCTCGGACTTTCATGGCATTGACCCTCACACGGAGCACGCGCCGGGCGACATTCCGCTGCCGCGCAAGCACCTCGACAAGTTCTTAGCTGCTGCCAAGGACATGTGGGCCGAGCCGCTGCGCAAGAAGGTCGCGGGCCTCTGCGCAGGTTTAGGTGGCGAGTCGTCGACGCTCGTGACGTGGAGCGAGCTCCTCCCCGTCGTCGAGGCCACCGTGGCCACGTACCCGGCGGTGCAGCTCTCTGCAACGACCGAGAAACACTACAGCACGATCGTCTTGACGGCGGCATAGATGTTCGAGTTAGCTAAAGAGAACGCGATTGATAGACGTAAGCGGGATGTCGGTAAAGGCCGGCGTGTTGACCGAGCGCTGCGCCTGGATGTCTTCGTCGGCCATCGTGACCGTGTACTTGTCTGTTGACACCATGAGTTTCCATAGTCAGTCGTAGCATGTAAGACTACCGCGGATCGTGTTGTACGAGTCCAAGGGCGCCGTCGAGAGGAGGTTGATGGCCACGTAGATGACGAGCACCATGAAGATCGACATGCACAGCATCGCGGGCAGCGCGACGGCCCAGTAGCGCGACGGGTAGTACGAGATGCCATACTGGTTTAAGACGCTGTCGGGCAGGTATGCCCAGAGAAGGTAGCATGCTACGCCACGATGAGATCGATAAGAAGTAACGCTGGCCAAACCGAACACGACGATGGACGCGATCCAGCCGGCGAAGCCGTAGATCTCCATCTGCATGGCGTTGATGCGCTGCGTCTCGAGGAAGGACATGCTCGGCGGCATCGCGACGCCCTCTGGAAAGTCCGAGAACCGGCGGTCCGTCTTGCGCACGTCCACGGACGACGACACCTTGCGACGCACCATGTTTTCGACTGTGGTGCGGCGTATGCGGATGTCATATCCGGATGCTCTCGGATCCGGCGATCTTCCAGCTTCGACCGACTCGCACTCGTCGTCGCGCAAGGAGCGTCGACTCAGCATGGATGACGCGCGACGCGCAACGCATTGAGCTCGCAAGACTCGGCGCCTCGTTGTTTCTACCGTCGAATGCTTGTTTAGCCAAACGTCCGGCTTGGCAGCTACGCGGTGTAGAGCAAGCAGCCAACAAGAACTTGGATACATGTATGTGTGTTTATAAGATGCGGTTCGGCGGATGCTCGTTGCGGATGCGCTTGATGTGGAGGAGAGGCCAGACGACGGCCGCGACGCGCGCTTCGATGAGGGCCATGGGCACGCATCCGAACGAGTTGCTGTCGTCGCTGAGCTCGGCATTGTCGCCCTACGCAATAGAGTTAGCACGAGGTAAGAAGGCTACAACGCGATGTCGTCACCGTACCTCAACCCAGCACTTGCCGGCCGGCACAACAACGCGGCGACCGCTGCGGCCTTCGACCCAGTCGCCTTCGAGCGCGATAAGCCGCTTTGTGAGATACTCGCTAGGCTCGCTCGGCGACTTTAGCACGACAACGTCACCGCGCACGAGCCGATGGGCGACTTGAACGGAGAACTTGTCGAGGAGGACGATCTCACGGTCGCCGTCTTCTGCATTCATCGTCGGCTGCATCGAGCGGCCTTCGACGCGGCCAACGCTCATGACGAGCGAGTTGAACGTGATACCGACGGGTATCCAGGCGAGCGCTAGCCGCGCGGTCCGTGCCCATGCTGCCTGTGTCATGGCCACTCGCAGTCAAATCGGGCACTTCGCGCGGATTGCGTCATCATTCAACAGCCATGCGATTGAAATAAGCCATAAATATGCAAATCGTCACTTGTATTTTATTCGGTCGTACGAGACGCGAGGTCACAAACCTGCATCTTTGCGACCTAGATCAACCGTCGCGAACCGAACGGTTGCGGTAATGGTTATCGAAGGTTACACGTTATATCGTCAAACCCACAAACTTTGCCGACGGGGGTTTCGCGGGCAACAGTCCCTTGTGCGCAGAAGCCTGTCTCAGTACCATAACTCTCCTATTCTTATACCAGCCGTGGGAGCGCTCCAGTATTAACAAGAAGGAGCCTGGTATCGACACCTTCCGACACATGGTCGACTTACAACCGGCTAAGAGGTCCAACCGAGTTCTTATACATTCTAACCGCCAGGTTGGATGCAACGCCCCATATCCGGATGTGGCGCCGGTTCAAAGCAGTTGAAACGAGCCTTCGATATCGAAACTTCCGCCGAAGCGGTGGCCGACCATGGACCATTCCTC